TCAGACATACCCATCAGAAAGACATACCTATCAGACATACCCATCAGAAAGACATACCAATGAGACATGCCAATCAGAAAGACATACCCATGAGACATGCCCATCAGAAAGACATACCGATCAGACATATCAATCAGACATACCAATTCGAAAGACATAACCATCAGAAAGACATACCTATCAGACATAACAATCAGAAAGACATACCTATCAGACATACCCATCAGAAAGACATACCAATGAGACATGCCGATCAGAAAGACATACCCATCAGACAGACATACCCATCAGAAAGACATACCCATCAGACAGACATGCCCATCAGAAAGACATACCCATGAGACATGCCCATCAGAAAGACATACCAATCAGCCATACCAATCAGAAAGACATACCGATCAGACATACCCATCAGAAAGACATACCAATGAGACATACCGATCAGACATATCAATCAGACATACCCATCAGAAAGACATACCGGTCAGATATATCAATCAGACATACCCATCAGGCAGACATACACATCAGAAAGACATACCAATCAGAAAGACATACTGATCAGACATATCCATCAGACAGACATACCCATCAGACAGACCAATCAGAAAGACATACCTATCAGAAAGACATACCCATCAGAAAGACATACCCGTCAGACATAACTATCAGAAAGACATACCCATGAGACACGCCGATCAGAAAGACATACCCATCAGAAAGACATACCCATGAGACATAACTATCAGAAAGACATACCCATGAGACATGCTGATCAGAAAGNAGACATAACTATCAGAAAGACATACCCATGAGACATGCTGATCAGAAAGACATACCCATGAGACATAACTATCAGAAAGACATACCCATGAGACACGCCGATCACAAAGACATACCCATCAGAAAGACATACCCATCAGACATAACTATCAGAAAGACATACCCATGAGACATGCTGATCAGAAAGACATACCCATGAGACATACCGATCAGAAAGACATACCGATCAGACATACCAATCAATCAGACATACTTATCAGAAAGACATATGTATCAGAAAGACATATGTATCAGAAAGACATACCCATCAGAAAGATATACCAATGAAGACATAACAATGAGACAGACAGACATACCCATCAGACATACTGATCAGAAAGACATACCCATCAGAAAGACATACCCATGAGACATGCCCATCAGATATACCATCAGACATACCCATCAGACAGACATACACATCAGAAAGACATACCGATCAGTCATACCGATCAGACAGACATACACATCAGAAAGACATACCTATCAGAAAGACATACCCATGAGACATGCCCATCAGAAAGCCATACCGATCAGAAAGACATACCCATCAGAAAGACATACCCATCAGACATACTGATCAGAAAGACATACCCATCAGAAAGACATACCCATCAGACATACTGATCAGAAAGACATACCCATCAGAAAGACATACCCATGAGACATGCCCATCAGAAAGACATACCCATGAGACATGCCCATCAGAAAGACATACCCATGAGACATGCCCATCAGAAAGACATACCAATCAGAAAGACATATGTATCAGAAAGACATACCCATCAGACATACTGATCAGAAAGACATACCCATCAGAAAGACATACCCATGAGACATGCCCATCAGAAAGACATACCGATCAGACATATCCATCAGACATACCCATCAGAAAAACATACCTATCAGACAGACATACCCATCAGAAAAACATACCTATCAGAAAGACATAACAATCAGAAAGACATACCTATCAGACATACCTATCAGAAAGACATACAGATCGTCCAATCTGTGAAGAAGACATGCAGGTGATATTTGTATAGATTTAATTATTAGTTTCACCAGTTGCCTACACCCTTCTGGCAGTGCTGCCATTGCAGTCAGGTCTCACAGACTACGAGGAGTAGAAGTTGTCCGACTTGGCTGCAGTCAGTTTATACTCCACCCCTGCAGCCGCCGACAGATCGCGCTCCACATTGCGTCAGCTGCAGTCGAACGCACCCATTGCTTCTTTAAGGGAGGATGGACAAAATTACAGCCTCCTCGGTGATTGGCTGTTGTGCTGGCGTTCAGTAATCCTCTGCTCGATAGGCCAT